AAAAGCATAAATTTGCTGTTTTGGAAAAAAAAGTGCTGAAACACAAAGTAAGGATGGCAGAAAGGAACTCACATCAACATAGTCAAATGCACAGGAAGTTCCAGAACCTTCCAGCCGTAGGTCATTGATGGTGAGTGTAACCCGGCGTCCTGGTGACACCACCAGCTCCCAGCGACACACCCGGTTGTGTGGGTACAAGTTGGGATAATTGGGAGAGGAGATTGTTCCTGAAGGAGCATTCAACTCTCCCCCACAGGCTGCAGGAGGAGGAGAGGAAAAGTAAAACAAAGAGAAACATTCAACATGAGAAATACCACTTTCTAATGTCATTTATTTACCTCTGTCAGTCTAAAGCAGAGCAAACATTTATATAAATGACAGCAAATATGAGGTTATTATAAATAACATTTTTGACTTATGTAGATAAAATATGACAAATATACTCTGTTATTTACAAATACATTTAACAGTGTTTGTTCAGTTCACTCCATTTGTCTCAACACAGATGGTACATTTTTCAAAATGTTATTTTGTGTTTGACACCTTGGACAAACATTATTTTCAACATGTTCAAAATCATCTTACCTTCAACACTAGCTTCAAATGACAGACTGAAGCCTGCTGCATTTCCACTGGAGTCACTGACAAACTTGACATAGGCAAAACTGTCAGATGTGTCCATGGAAGCAGGAAGGCTACTGCCACAGTGTCGGCCCAGTGTGTGTCCTATACAACACAAAAGACAATGTATGTATCAGTGGGTCTATGATTTGCATATTAGTTGTCTTGTCATGCCAGTGTCGAGTAATTTGGCTTTTGTTTCTGCTGTTCTTTATTTCTTCCATTTATCATTATCTTTATTTCATGTTCATAAGGAAGCATAAACATCTGCCTCGGAAAAAATGTACAATATGACAAGTGCCACTTAAAAACACTGCAGCTGAAAACTCTACAGACATGAAACTGATATTCTGCATGTGTAACTCTGGGCAAAGATGTGTTCACACACACATGCCAATGACTCATTCCATTTGGAGAGTTTTTTT